ACAGTGCATAATTTCTTTTAAGTTCTTTTAAGCAGTCTTGTGTTATGCGTACAATTAGAAGTCCATCAGTATCCCAAGTACTCCTGCATTATCTACCCTGCCACACTTCACTAATGCGTCTTATCATTTAGGTTGCTAATACTGTTCAGTGTAAAGACAGTCTTTCTGAGGTAGACTGTTCAAGTTCAAGGACAAGTCTTTTTCTTACGAAATGCATGACATTCAAAAAAAGACAACAAATAAATACTACATGTACAATATGTAGCAATGAGGTAGAAATGGTTATAAAGAACAATGTTTGAATATACGTCAGATGAAAAAAGAAAAAAAAATGAATATTCTCTAGCAACAGTATATCATCCACAGGGGAGACTCATCCACACACCCACACCCACACACCAGAGGAGGGGGAGGAAGTTAGAGGGAGAGTTTTAAGCCTGGAAATAAACTTTTGCTTTTTTTTGTATCATAAGACAACTAGAAGTAATGAATGTGCTCCCAACCTTGGTGTACTACAGAACCATTTTATAAATATTTAACATTCTATAGGACTGATTCATATATTCTCACACAACTCTGTGGCAAGGCTGACCCATGCTGCCGACATTCTACATATCACTGAGACAGGGAGGTGAAATTTTCCTGCTTTCAGTCTAATTGTCTTTGACAATTGCAGTGCCTAGTGCTACACTGCTTGTGTTGTATTTAAAAACAGGGGAAAGAGGAGAGACTTGTTCATTAAAGATGCAGTATCCCTGGTTCACACAAATGCATCTGGCAGGTTCAAAATCGAATGTCAACCAGAGGTCTTAGCAGAGTGTGAGATTCAGTTCATGTGTTGGTTAGTCACAAGTACAGCTGGTTGTGAATTCTGAAATACTAATAGCTCCATGTTTGCTAATGTGCTTCATATAAAAATCAGCAGGTGATTCAACAACCGAAGGCTTTACTTTTCAAAAGGAAAAAAAACATGTTAAAACGCTTTGAATCATAAAGTGGTCATGTGTATCTGTGCACATATGAAGAAAGGAAATAACCAGTTGCTTCTGAATAACGTAAAATAGATGTTTGTTTTAAAGTTCAAATAGGTGGTGGTGAAAACAGAACACACACATACACACACACAAACACGCTAATTTATATATATATATGTATATATATATATATATATATTAGAATTTTACTTTAGTGGCCTCAATAGTTAAACTGCGTCCCTTTCACTTTGCAAAATACAGATTCAATGATCACGATACTCAATTCTTGCTAACAAACATGAGGATGGGATTATAGAAGTATCTTTCTGCTTGGAGTTGGATACATTTTCAGAGAAAGAAATTCTAAATGTCTCTAAAACATACTTTCCAACCCACAAATATATTTAAATTTACAAAGACCTATTGTAGGAATTAATTTGGATTTTTTTGGATGTATTCTTTTGAAAACTGCATAGCCAAGTACTATGCAACCCATGTAAATTGACCTTGCTATTTTACATAGCATAGCCTCTGGATAGCTTTTATCATTTGCCCAGATGGTGTTTGGCCTATGTATTTTAGTGGAATGGTTTATTTTCTCCTTGATAGGTTTCAAATGCACAAGAAAACATTATACCCGTCTATCTGCATTTGAGTAGAATACAAACTGACTAATAGATAAACATTCCGTGCGAAAGTAAATAGCCTTAAAGTATACTGCCTTCACATTCCATTGATCAGCGCAGTCAGCAAAGTTTTCCATGTTGTCACTAACGTTCTAAATATTTTGGAGAGAAGCATGCCAGAAGTGTAGAGTATTTCCATTTGTGTCACATATAAGGTCATTACGAACTACCTCTTGAATTTCTATTGATCCCAATACCGAAGTAGTTTCCTCATTTCCTTTTCGTCCCTGTTGGAAATGTTATTACAGTTGGGAAGAAAGGAATTAGGGGCTGTTAAGTGGACTGGCTCAATCTCCTGGCCAGACGGCGAGGGATTTGGACTGGCTCATTACCTTACCTTCATTAGTAGCCTTCTCCAAATTCTTAGCAGTCAAAAAGAGGCCAAGAGTATGAAGCCCGATTACTTAGTGGTACTATCGCCGATCGCACACATTCATTTCTGAGGATGTACCCCACCCCCACACCAAGTTCCAGAATGGACGGTCAGAAAAGAGCTCATTATTGGGCTAGTCTATAGAGGAGCTCATAATGCCGCCATGCAGAATCAAAGACTCACAGGAGACCACTGTCTACTCAAAGGTCACCCTTATCTCCTCTAATAGATCTTCATTTCTTCAACATGCCCAATTTCCTAAGAGATCAAATCTTGGATTTTGTGAGGCTAAATGAAAATCACACACGTCTTCAGCTTCTGCCTAAATACATAGATTTTTGACCACTCATATCTCAAACTCATTTTTAAGTCACTCATAGCTCTAATTTTTAAGTCATTTAAAGCTAAAAGCCAAGTTGTATGACTTCAATTTATTTTCAGTTTTATAAATGAGTGTAAAACACAATAGTGCAGTCATATATTTGGCATTAAGTCTTACCAGCCACAAAAAAAAAATGTGGGTCAATATTGGATTTTCCAAAGTTGTCTAAATAAGACTGGGTTTGTCAAAACTTGCCAGATGCTTTCAAGTGAACACAGCATGGTGGCGGATATGAAATGTAATATCTAAAAGACAGAAAATAGGTCAGCACTGTGCAAAAGTAAACTTGTCAGTGAGATCAATATGAACTTACAAGTTAATGTGGATATTAGAATTTCCTTACAACAAGGGAGGCGCAGGGTAGACCCAGAACGTGATTGTAGCATTTATTATTCACTTGTGAAAAGCAGAGGACGTACTTAAGTATTATTTTTTGTATCCTTAATGAAAGGCACTGCTTTTTAATACATAATATTTATATTTAAGCACAGTTTTAATTGATAGAATATCATAGTAAATTAAATTCTGGTTCATTTGCTCAGTTTTTAGCAACATGAAAAATAAAAACGGGGACTAACGATCAAGCATGATAAAATTTCAGAAATATGAAATCCTCATTAGCTTTCTCTATGTTAAGTGTTTCAGAAAATTGGACATCATGGATGAGATCGGTAAAAATTTTTGAAGGAAAAAAATAACAGAAAGACCTTTCTTGGGGCTTCTCATTGCATTTATTTAAATTTTTAAAAAATGTACATCACTTATTGAATACATAAAATGCCAGTGCTTTGCAACAGTTTCGTTACTGCATCTCTAAACTAAAAAGGAAGAGGGGGAAAAAACCAGGAAAAATACATTCAAAAAGCCAGGCTGTCTGCTTATGCATGGGCAGTGGCTTTGGAAAGCTACAGCCTGCACTGTGACTCTTCAGAGGCATTGCCAAACATCAGCCAGCTTTCAATGAAAAGTTGCACATAAAGCATTAAAGGATACAAAGAACAACTTGCCGGGGAGCAGGAAAGGAACGAGAAATTAAGAAAAATGCCACATATGCCATGAGGGGGGTGGTAGACTGAGCCGGAACTAAGCATAAAGACCGATGTTCATGGAAACTAGATTTATGGGGAAAGATGGAAGAAAACAAAGTAGTATGTTTGGCAAGCTATATTGCAGCGTGTGTGTCCACTTCCAATTTTCTACTTTACTCTCCAAGAGAAATGTAACAAAACTGAGGTAGAAATAAACAGGGGGAGCACTACAGCCCAGATTTCAAAATGAGAAGCAAAATTGCACTGACAAGGATGGAGTCAAAAAGAAGGGGAGATGAAGTGAAGGTTCTTTGTGGACATATATATATATATGTTGGTTGGTTTGTTTTTATTTGTGTTTGTTGTTTTGGTTGCTATCCTCTGCATTCTATCAAACAGCACGGCAAGCCTGTAAGCTAGATTAGTGAATAGAATGACACCATTCCCAGCAGTTTCAAGAGATAACTTGCAAACTACCACCACCACCAACCACCACCTATGCAGTAAAAGGCAGTCATAGTCTTTAGGTACTGTGACTTTCAGGGTCCTAAACAGGTCTTGTGGCTGACTGTTCTAGACACTAACACAAACTGAATAAGTAGCTTTCGATTAACCAGTGTACCTTTTAAGAACATTTTCACTTAATTATCAAGGAGCAATGCACTAAGAACTCTTGCAGTTATTGACATAAAGAATTATTCCGCTCTGGTTAATTCCCCATATTTAGTAAAAGAACTTTTTTTTTTAAATCCTTCCATTTCTACTTTAAATTGTAAATATTCAGTTGTATCACACTTCAATATTTTTTCTGGATACATTCAAAGTAATTTTCCTTGCTATTTTCCAATTGTTGAGGTAAACATACATTTTAATATAAAGTAACATTGAAGCCTATCCTATTACTCTCAGCAGTACATAGTGCTTTCAACACATTCCTTTGAGGTACTGTACAAATCACAATCACTTTCCTGAGTTTTTGCAGACAAGAACATTAAAAGAAATGAACTGCAGAAATTAAGGTCCAGATTACCGTTACCCTGTTTTACCTGTTCTTAGCTTAATACTGCAGAACAGACAGGATTGAGGAATACTGTTGCTCTTAAAATGGCAAAAATCTGGTTTTCTGTCATAACACAACCGTTCATCTCTTTAGTCCAATAATGTTTGAAGTTAAAGCTCTTTATATTAGCACATGCCACCAATGTAATTGTGAGGCAAACAAAAAATAAAGCACCACTCCAGGCACTTGACAGCAACTAAATCTCGAGAACAGCAGAATGGAATCAACACACGAGGTTCATGTCCTTCTGAAATCAACACACTTGCACCTTGCTCCTTGGTGAGTGTTGTCTAGCTTGAACCGAACTGAGCATCCACGTATGCTTTCTGTCATCTGGGGCTTTCAAATCAGAAGCTCTCATTTGATGCACTTCTCCTCCAAATCTACCCTGACTCTAAAGATGCAACTTTAATCGGCGTCTTCCCCAGTACCCTTTGCAATTTAAACACTACTGGGAAGGGGCTCTATTCCCTATGTAGCAGGTTTTATGTGTGTGTGCCAACATTCGTTACATTTTTTTTTCCTAAAGAAGTTATCACTGACTGCAACCAAACATTTTGTTCCATTCGACATACATATCAAGCTCTTTTTGAGATATGCTAGGCTGAATCTTGCAGAAAGCATTTTCAAAGTCTTGATATGTAACGGGCCGCAACTGGCTGGGCATAATGGCTGAAAGGTCTGTGGCTGGCATGGCATGGAGGGGGCCCACTGCTGCTTCCTGACACAAATGAGCCACGTCGAGTCCAGAAAAGCCTTCTGTGCGCTGGACGAGCAGTGCAAACTCCTTGTCATTGAGACAGTAATTGTGCTGTGAGAGCAGTTGTACTATTATCTGGTGCCTCGCTGTGCTGTCGGGAAGTGGGATTAAAAGTCGTTTCATGAAGTACCTCCGAAGAGATTCATCTATTTCTTCTGGTTTACTGGTGGCACAAATTACTACGATTTGGTCCTCAGCCGAAGTTAGTACAGTGTCCAGCTGCATCAGAAATTCGGTTCTCATCCGACTGACTGGACTGTGCTCCTCGCTCACTTGAGAGGAGAGAAGCATATCAATGTCACTAACGAAAATCACTGAGGGCTGGCGACACCTGGCCACAAGAAAAGAGGCATGGATGATTTTCTCTGCTTCTCCTAACCACTTGGCGACCAGTCCAGAACTGGCAATTTTGAAAAATGTGGCCCCCAGCTGACTAGCTATGCATCGGCCCAATAATGTTTTGCCTGTTCCCCGAGGTCCAAATAAAAGGATGCTTCGAGGTAAGGCCGTCAGTCCACTGAATGCATCTGACCTCAGCACTGGCCATAAAACCTCCTCTTTAATGACAGCCTTCACCAGGTCGAGACCAGCAATGTCATTCCAGTCCACTGGAGGTCCTTGGGTGATAATCTCATTGGTTACCAGGTCAATGAGGTGCGTGTCAGTATTCTTCAGTTGCTCGTCCACAGAGTGGTTGGATGAGGTAGCTGCACGGAGTCCAGGGCCTTGCATTGGGTGAGAGAGGAGCTGCCTGTGCTCGTCCCCATGCTCACTCATTACTGGCGACGTGTACTTCCCAAAGGATTCACTGGATCTTGATCCCAATGAATTTTTAGCAGTACTGTAGGAAGGAGGGGTCAGAGCCCGACTGGACTGGCTGCTGAATTTCCTTTGCTGTTCAGAGGACATTAGCTGCTTTGTTGGCTTAAATGCTAAGGATGATGTTTCAGCACTTCTGTCAAAGCCATTCCCCCGATTTGTGTTTGAAATGCTGTTGTCGGGCATTCTGTACATAGGACTCTGTGTAGATCTCTGTTGGCCATAGCTGTAATTTCCATAACTGGAGTCCATATCTCCTTGCCCTGCCATATAGAAAGCTTTCCTTTTGAGAGAACTTGCCGAGCTGTTTGTCAGAGCCGATGGTGCAATAGGCGTCAAACCATGGCCCTGGTAGGTGTAGCCAGGAACAGTAGTGGGGGGCAGGGGGGTGGGAGCAGGAATTCCTGAAGGCAGGTATGCTGAAGGAGGAGGGGGTGCACCTCCAGGGCTGTATCCAGACCCCACAGCAGTCTGAGGAGGATAGCTAGCGGAGGGATAGCTGTAACTGGAGAGGTTAGAAGTCCCATTGTAGCCTGGGACCAGGGCTGGTGGCGGGGGAGGTGGCGGTGGCGGCTGCAGGAGCCCAGAGCTATGCAAAGGAGATGGATGAGGTGAAGGAAGTGCAGGTGCTGGCTGGCTGCTGTAAGTAGAATGCAAATACGATCCGTTGTATCCCGGGGCATATTCCTGAGATGGGAGCCCTGCGTGAAGACTCGGTACACTGTGGCTTCCACAGGTGCTACTTGAATAGCTAGGTTCTGTCAGGTTGCTGGCTACCCCAGGAGAGCTCCCTATACTTGCAGAGACATCTGCTGGAGGGAGGGCTGAACTGACTCCAGCTTTGCTGGCAGTGATAACATCGGGAACACAGTTCATGGGATAAACAGCTTCTGAATTCAAGGAAGGCTGCCAGGGTTCACTTTCATTTTTCCGCCCGTTCACTAGTCCTGATGGTGCATCTGAATAGTTGCTGAGTACGGGTCGGTCCACGGGACCTTCCAAAATGCCAGAATACTTCTCTGCATATTTTTTTAGTAGGTTGGATGCAGTCAGAGCAGATATGTCATCATTCGCCCAGGCGTACTGATAGGTGCGCTGCAAATGACCTCGGTAGGCTTCGACTTTGTGGGCAGGAGACCGAGTGGTTGAGGTGATATCAAAGTGCTGTTCTGGCCACTGGGCATGCTCCGGCGTCCACTGCATCTTCAAGCCTAAGAATTTGGGGGGAAAAAAGTTAATTTACTTAGATATTCATCAGAACTCTTAAAGCTTTTTCCCCCAACTTCTTTTGTTACTTATTATTTTCCATTAAATGCTATGCTCATTATAGAGGATTTCCACCTATGATAGGTACTCTTTAAAATGGACTAAATTTCAGCCCTGTATAAAGAATAAACTGAATTTAAAAAAAAGCTCTGTAGAAGACCTAAATTTTTTTGCATTTTTAAGTCACAAGCAAATCTATTTTTGTGAAGCCCATCAAGTTACTTGCTATAGCTATACGCACACTCATACACACAAACACATATATATGTACACACACATCCCTGTCAAATGAGAATTCAATCACAGGTTCTTACGATAAAATATGCATACATATTTTAAATATCTTGCACGTGACAGTATTAACATGTACAATATCTAGCTATTCTGTCTGTTCACATCACAGTTTCTGTTTTTTATTTTAACCAATATAAAAATGAGACACAGCTGACAGATCACATCTAGGATACCTCTCTTATTTGGTACTGAACACCTAGTTAGCACAGTATAATGCTCCCTGCGCAGAACAATATGACACAGACATAGCAGGTCATTCCATAATCCAACTCTCATCTAAAGTGGTCCACGACAGTTTCAAATCTGCTTCGTGGAGTGCAGCAAAGCAATCTCCCAGGCAGCGCTCCATCGCTTTCATCGCACAAAGCCTACAACTCGGTATGAATTACAACTGGCTCCTTTCTGTTGTTGAGTCTCTGAAAAAAAAAACAAGCATCACTTGTCTGTCGGTCTTCTAGCGTCCTCCCTCCTTCTCTTATAATCCCCTCCTCCCCTTATAGCCTCCAAGGTACTAAGAGGGTAGAATGTGTGTGTGTGTGTGTGTGTGTGTGTGTGTGTGTGTGTGTGTGTATCCCTCATATATATTCTCATATATGTATGTATAAAGGGCGGGGGAAACAGAGAGAGAGAGAAAGGAAACCAAGGGGAAAGGGAAGATAAGAATGGAGAGAAAATCTGGATTCTAACTCTTTATATTTCTATAGGAAGTCATGTGGGGCATAAACTGGAGGAGTATAACTAGAAATAAGATCACATGGGTAATTCTATCATCTGCTAAGTTATTAAGTGAAGCCAAGTTGACTATGCAGCAAGCTGTAAAATGAATATTTTCACGTTTAAGAAAAAAATACTAAACAGAATCAGAGAATCATTTGAATTTTAAATTTTAAAGAGACCTTAGAAATTACCTTATTTCACAGATTAGGAAACCAGGGCCCAAGGAGATTTATAATGCACCCCGGAGGTCTCACATGTGGTTAGTTACAGAAGAGGACCGGAACCCCGTTCTCCTTTTTCCCAGTGCTGGCGCATCCTACTCTAATCTCAGCTTGGTTCGAACACTTCCTATTCTGGTACAGCTATATTAAGCTGGCCGCCTTAATCTCTTTTGTATTACCCAAAGTGAATTTTGCAAACTGTCTTGTGCCCTCTGGCAGAGATGCCTTGATGAGGAGGAGGCCTGGTCTACAGGAAGCATCTGTGGCACGAGCTCCCTCCGGAATTACCACAATCTATTTTGACAGCTTCTACCCCCTTCTCTGCTCCTCCCCCAAACCCTTTGGCTCTTCCTTGCCTGACTCTGGCTTCTGACATGGCTAGCTTTGACTTACTGAGCTAAACAGAACACAGCACACAGTTTGGTAACAGAATGGCATGTTGATTCCCTTCTGACTCCCTCTTCCTTGTTTGCAAAACCACTGCACCAGACACTGGAAGTTAATTAGCAGGATGATGCTGTGCTAATTGTGTTAATTTACAAGGTTTTAGTCAAAGAGAATCATGCCAGGGCTGGCACTGCTGTCATGCTTCCGACTTAATGATTAAGAAATACTGAAAACAAGGTGGGAAGGATTGCAGTAATTACACAATAAATGAATAAAGCAACAGGATTCATTTGCAAATATATTTTACTGCAGTTGTGCTCATTTGCATTTGGATTTTTAAAAAGGATCCATGTAGATATTCATTTGCAAATCACAACTCAGTTAAATTAACTCTGAATGCTGCACAGTATAACTTAATCAACATTTATATATATATATATATTTTTAGTAAAAATACTAAAAACCTCACTTCTCTTGTATATGCAACAGATTCTTTCTTCACTTCCCCTCAGCTACCCCGAATTACCATATTTCTGTTTTAAAACTTTATATATTATTAAATAATCTCATCAAATTGGAAAATAATATTATAAAATCTGGAGGAAGTGCAGCTTGCATCATTTCACTCAGAGACACTCTGAGGGTGAGTTCTATGAAGAACGAAAGTGCTATTCTTAATTATTTCTGCTTTCTCAATCATTACTTTTTAAGGGGGAGGAAAACACACCGCAAAATGGGTGAAATGACCGAAACCACACTTAAAGGGGAAAAGATGCAATTTTAATGAAGCAGCATTTCAGGAATCATACTTTCATTAAATTCAACTGGAAATTATTAAGAGCAAATCACCAGGAACCAATCGCAAGTAATCAGTATCTAAATTCTTCTAGTGTCATGGGATTTACTTCAAGCCTTATAAAAAGGAGAGAATATTAATGTGACTGTAACGTAGAACTGTCTAAAAGACCTACAAATTCATTAGTCCTGTAAATTATTTCTAGGGAATTTCTATTAAGATTTTTTCTTTAAAATATTAAAATACCGAGTAGAGAAACTAAGAGCAAACATATGCTATGAGTAGAAATTTGATTAGATTGATACAGAAGAAACATGAATAAATGTCTTGAAGCAAGGGCTCAGAAAATAATTTAGAAGTCACAGGCAATGGAGTTTTACCACAACACACACACACACACACACACACACACACACACACACACACACACAGGAGTTAAAAAACATAGCTTCTTTTCAGTTAGCTGAGCTAAGCCATTGTTGGCATTGGTTAACAAGTACACCTAACAAACATGATTAAAAAATACTCTTTAGTAAAAATGCAACTGCTTGAGATTTAGAATAATTATCTTTTTAAAAAAAGCAAGAGGTGAGGACCCTCTACCTGTATTGGCTAATATAATGTTTTCTTGTTAATCATTTATAAAAAACATGCAAAAATGATTTTGGTAAGTTATAATCTGCTGTAAAAGACAGCAGTATCCAGTTTAAATAAAATAGATTGTCCATTTTCACTGGGTATTACTGCATAGTTTAACTCTAGCAAAACTAATTAAATTTCATAAGATTTCTATTTCATCTGAAATTAAGCAAAGATCCTATCTATCAAAACTATTTTATTTGGAAAAATTACTGGATATATCATTATTGTCTTTTGATTCTCACATTATTTTTGCATGTGCTTACCAAGATAACTGAAAGTTTATTTATTGATGCAGACTAAATAACAGTAACCTTGGCAGGACTGCAAAAGGCAAGACTGAGTTTTGCTTAACCTTAAGGGAACAAAATTATTCACACCCTCTGAAACATGAGAAAGTATCCAGTGCTTTGAAATCATTAATGTTATTTGAAAGAATAAGTTAATAGTTAACCATAAACTAGTTCTTAATGTTAGTAAGAGTTGAAGAAGCCAGTGTTCAGGTGATTGTCCTGGACTTGGGAGCACAAAGACCCTTTTCATCAGTTTCTTGAATTTTAACTCTAATTGGAAGTAATACCAAATTTGTTTTTGTTATTGGTGTTCTGTTTATTGGTGGTGATATTTCCGATGTGAAATGGAAGAAAGACACAGAGCCAAATGTTCTCTGAACACAAAAATCATGTTCCGTTTGATTGCATTGCTGTTATCTGCAGCACACTTGTGCCACTTAAGTTGGGACCCAAATAATGAGTCGGGTTTTAAAAACAGCTTTCATATGGTTTCTCTTCTGCACATGAAGAGACAGATCTCAGAAACAATACTATTTTAACATTATTAGAAACATGACTCTAGAACAATAACTCCTACTGTTGTTTGGAAATAGCTTAAATAGGTACAGTAAAAATTCAGAAAATGAGAAAGTAAGAAAAATAGCTCTTAAAGATAATTGAAGAGTGTTCCAAAGCATTAATTTTTATTTTTGAAAGGACTGGGAAATTCTTAATACAGCTGGCAAGTTTCACGATGCAATGTGTTTGTTTTTAAAATACATAATTTAATAGAAAATTGCTTTTAAGATAATTTAACAGAAGTGTTCCACGCGAATGACAGGTACCACAGTAAAACATCTGAGCATTTTGTTCTTATTTTATTGTTATAGGATGAATTATGTATATGTAAATGGGCAATTCTATATTTCCCATATAACTGGATAGTTCAGATAACATTTTCCATTCTTCTTATTCCTGACCACTTTATAACTTAGGTTTAATTACTAAACAGTTACTGCCTTGCCTCTTCTTCCATTTTGCTCTTTAGTTTTGAAACAAAACAATTATAACATTCTTTAAAGTTCCACCACAGCTTCAAAATTATAAAGCAACAGTTATAGAGAAAAATGAAGGGTATAAAAAAAACTTTTAGAAAGGGAGGAAATTGGAAATAAAAGGCTTGGCCTTCTAAAATCTATGTTTAGCACATATTCCTGGAAATATCAATTTTAAGCACTCACTACCCCACCTCCACCCCTAGTATACGCATGCTATTCAACAGTTCATCAGGTCTGAAAAGGTTGCTCACTCCTGCAATGTTCCCGTAGGGAAATGCTAGGGACTCGGCCTTCATTTGTATGTTTTCTCAGACTTCCTAAGGGCAGAGACCTGAGGCAAACACCTGCAGGCATCATGGTGGGCTCGCTTGCTCTCGACGAGATGCATAGTGCTCACACAGGCCTGCATGACAACATCACTACATCTATTACATTCCTTTGGGCTACTGTACCTCTGAACCTTTCATTATCATTTTTTTAATATTTTAAAAAATTTAATACAATATTTAGTAGGGTTTACTCTGGAAAACAATCACTGCTAGGGTAAATACAGCAAAGTAATTATAATAGTTTACAGCCTCCTCAGTGTAATAATGCAACAGATTCATCATCTCTTAGGTTGGAAATGACAGAACTAACAAATAGAGCATTCAAAATTTCCAGTAGAAAGTTGCAGATGCATAGACTGAAAATATAGGTATATATTCAGTGAAGAACCTTCTGAGAGATGGACTATAAAGCTCCTGATACTGAAAACTGGCCCTGTGCAACGTTTACTTATCATTATTCTTCAAGGGCAGTGATGACCAAATGAAATGTTTGAGCAGACTAAGCAACATTCTCCTTTTGTCTACTCATCCTCATAAGCCAAGAGACCAACATAGCACCATCTAGTATAACTTTCACTAACCCATTTGATCTGGAAACTTCTCCAGTCCACTCCCCAGTAATTCCTAGCCTTAAAATATGATGTCAGATCTAAAAGTAATGGCAAGGAATAAAGCGAGGGAAGGAAGCACTGAAATTAGATATCCTCTTTAGTTTACCTAATTTGGTTCCATTTGTAGAGTATCAAAAGTCCTTTAGAAGCTGAATGTG